AGTGTTTACGGTCGTAAGCTCTTTGCGGCCCGAAGTGTATACGGTCCGAGGCAAGAATAAGATGCGAAGTTCTCGATTTTTAGCATTTTCCTTCTAAATTCAACTATGGGTATTATAAAGATTTTAGCAAATAAAGGTTATTATCATAACCTTAAATAAAAATCCAAATAATAAAAAGAACTTTAGTTGACTTTAGTTTGACTTCGGTTGACTTGAGTTGACTTTACAAATAGGAAAATAACGGGATGTTACATAGCGGGAGCATATGGAACCTCCGTGAGCATTATCATCATCACTGAACCACCACAGAACACCACCCTCCTACCTCTTCAACTCGCACCTGAGCAGTTTGTGGCCTCACTGTCGCTGAAGAAGAAGGATGAACCGGAGTTTGAGGAATCATCGATCGCTACCTCAGTGTGTGTGTGTGTCTTTTATTCTCAATATGTGTATGTTTTGGTGAAGAAGACGATCAGGTAAAAACGGTGTGGGCCCAAATTATATGAGAGAGAGAGGGGTATGGTGGATATGTGGGTCCGGTATTATATATAATAATAATAATAATTTTAAAAAGGGAAAGAAAATGAAAATTAATTTCATTAAGGGTATAATAGTCTTTTTAGTTTGGACAGGGACCAAAATTGCATGTAAACTAGCTCAAAAGGACCGTCAATCCAAAAAAGTCAAGGTTTGGACTAAATCCCCAAAAAAATGCATACCACCGGGACCATTTTTGCAATTTTGTCTAAGAAGAAAGTGGAAACATTAGTTAAGAGACATATATTTTTGGGGCACATCTTCATGCACGACTAGGAAAAAAAGGAAGGATCGATCGGCTTTAAGGTTTTAATAATCAAAACAATCTTTTGATTTCTTTTTGTAAATATTAGTTCTTGTTAATTGAATTGTAGTTTCTGGGGTTTAGCCGTCTTAATCATTTGAGTTTTAGATCGTTGTGTTAGATTGTTAGTTAGATTAATACACTCTTATCCATGTGATTTCTGATTTTTATAATTCGTTGTTACAATTTTAGTTGGGCTTGAGCAACCTGGTTAGGGTTTTAATAAAGAATTGTCAATCAATTAATTGAATCTGTAATTGCTCTTTTAATTGGTCTAAGTAGCAAATAATACACTTGTATAATGAAATCATGTTAGTACAATGTAAATTCTCCGAGCTTACATGAGGGTTCATTGTGTCTGGTGTTTCGTTTATGCTTTAATGCGGCTCTCACCTAATTACAAATTGCTCGTTTGAAAATTTCGTAGTGAGTCAGTTCTGATTGAAGCACTCGTTTCAATTAGGTAAATTCGCAGTTTGGTTAAAGTGTTTGTTTTAATCGAGTGTGGCGAAATGGGTTGTCATAGTCTGTTGACAACCGCAGCCAAACTAGAACGTAACAATCCATGATCACGCGTTTAAATCGGTCTTTTGATGTTAATTTAATCATCAACTAGTTAGTACTTTGTAGTACTTATTTATCATATTTTAGTTAGCACGTCCGGTTTTGTAGTTTGGACATCCTTTTTATGTAATTGATCATATGTTTTGATGTTGATTTTGTAGTATATCTAGTGAATTTGGTTTCGTATTAGTTAAAAGAGTGATTTTAATTTTGATTCATGATGGCCACCTAAGTTAGGGTTAAACATTAATTTGATTTTCACTGAATGATTTTTAATGTAAACCAAAATCACACATTCTTACGCTCCCGAGCTTGCGAGGAGTATTGAATGTTGTTGGAAACATTCACACAGAACTTAATGCGGTCTCTCAATCTATTTGTAAGAGCTTGTTTAAAGTAGGTTAGTAAGGTTAGGTTTAGTTCAAATAGCTTGTTTTGTTTAAACAACTTGGTGAATGGGAAATGTTAGAGCTTGTTAATGTTTCCAAGTACCAACTTAGATTAGAATTCAATTTGAAATCAATTCATTATTAACTTGCATCATTAGGAGAATAGACATCGAAACTGGATTGTTTTTATTTTTGTTTCTAGCATGTATTTTACCGTATTTCATTTTAGTTTACTCATTTTCAAAATCCTCCCTCATATTTACTTTTTATGCATAGGAATAAAAGCATGACTATTTTGGTGTATTTATTGATAAAAACCGAGTCTTCGGGATCAACCATGTTTTCCACTATTACTATTATTTTTAAATCACATAAATGCATATAGGACTTATTGTTTGATGGATTCGACACCCATCGCATATTTGTAGTAGATGTTAAGTTTATGTGATTTGATCATTCGTGAGCAAAAATATGGATAGAAGATTAGATGTCATTTGCACTATGGGATGCATATACAAGAGAGTTGTTGAAAACTAGTCAATGTAGATGCTTAGACCAAAACTTTATTAGGTATACGAAATCTCACAATGGAAGAAGATGTGAAGGTTAAGATTGGATTTGGCCCTAAGAGAGAAAGTGCAAAGTTTATATCGACATTAACTTAAAGCTATAATGGGAGAATTTAATATTGTTAGAAGAGTTGCAAGAAAAGTTTCCTTTGGTGAGGATGACATTAGGATTCAAACTTTGATAATTACACCAAAAGGACTCATATGGATTACTTGTGTGTTAGGACGGAAATAGGTACCGATCGGAAGATATCCATTTCCATACCTTTGTTATCACTAATGGAACTCTCATTATACTCAATATAGATGTAACTTGATTTAGAGTAGGTTGCTTACAACAGTCCCATGATTGATATAACATGTATGGCATGTTATATCTATTGGTTCCATGTCATAATTTTTTACGTTAGGTTTCAAGAAGAGTGAAGCTTGTTAACAGTCACATGTGAGTAAATTTTCTCTCTCGAGAACCTTTCTGATTAGGGTGGGGAGGAACCTTTGGTTCTTTACTATTTTTTCTTTTCTATCTTTTCATATTGTAATAAACAATCTTCTAGATCCATAGATACCATATTTCGACTTCACTGCATCTATGGGAAAAAAATCTTATTAAGTTGTTTCTCATGAGAACACCTTTTATATGTATTTTGGGGTTCTTAAAAGTTAAAAGTCAGCACAAAGCATTTTTTATGATATTGAAAGGTAATTCATTTGTATATGTCATTATCTATTAATGGTGGTCCTAGGTGTGCGAATGGTGTGTCCAATTATAAGAGGCCTTCGATCGAAAACTTACTATAATATTATATTACTAAAAAAATAGAAGACAAAATAATAATATATTGAATAAAATTAGAAACAAAACAAAAAAAATTAGGTTCTAGTAAATATATTATTAATATTATTTAGAATTTAGATACCGATATGATATAAAGACATCTACATATCAAAGGCAATATCGAGAGCATGGGTTTGACAAGGCTTTTCATTAAGCTAGAGTTATAGCTTCTAACTTATAATCATATTAATTTTAGGTTCCTTACGGAACAGTTCCATCCTCCTATTGGTTATTTATTATTTATTTATTTTTTAATATGTTCTTGATAGCGTCTCTTCACCTACTTTGCTTTTATTACGTGTCCTCTATCGCCACCATCGTCCAATACCTACGCACAGCCATTTAGTCTTCCGGGGTTAAAATCCATCCACCGATCATCCACCGCATCCTCCTTCTTCTAGTTCCTTCCATGTAGTTCCTCCCACCGAATGCTTTCAACCAAATATCTTCAATCTCCTTTTCCTATTGGGTTAATGTCATAAAAACCCTCATGTTTTCAAGGTTTTGTCGGTTTTGCCAAAAGTTGAATTTTATGTCCGTTTTTACCCTAACATTTTCGAAAAAATGTTCGGTTTTACCCTTTTACCGATGATAACAGGTTTTCCAGGTTACCATTATATTAAATTCGCAAAAAATCCCTTAACTTTACCATTTTTTTGCGTTTTTACCTTTAAGTTTATAATTTTTTTACACTTTTACCCTAAGTATTTTTTTTTGTCATAATATACGTATTCATGCAGAAAAATCGTATTTATATACGAAAAAATGTTTAATTAAATATTGTATTTTTTTAATGTTAAATATATATATATATATATATATATATATATAGATATATATATATATATATATATATATATATATATATATATATATATATATTTGTTTGTGTGTGTGTGTGTGTGTTTTTTGCAAGGTTATATCATTTAAAAAGATAACTAATATTTTTAGAATTATGAATACGTGTTTTATAGATATAGTTTTTAGAAGTATAAATACATATTTTTACATTTTTATATATTAATATGTATCTATACTTCTAAAAATATATTTATACTTTAAAAAAAAACATATATCAAAATACATATTTACACTTCTAAAAATATATGTATATACTTATATAAACATGTTTATGATTGAACAAGTTTTTTTTATTGATATGTATATTTTTAAATACATAAAAATACGTATTTGTAGTTCTAAAAACATATTAATTTGTTTTTTTACATCTTAAATGGTTTATCCAAGAAAAAAACCTACACACATACACACACACACACACACACATATATATATATATATATATATATATATATATATATATATATATAAAGAAATAACATTAAAAAATGTAAATACAATATTTAATTAAAAAAATTTCGTATATAAATATGATTTTTCTGCATGAATACGTATAATATGAAAAAAAAATACATAGGGTAAAAGTGTAAAAAAATTATAAACTTAAGGGTAAAAACGTAAAAAAACTGTAAACTTAAGAGTTTTTTATGAAGTTAATATGATGGTAACCTGTTATCACGGGTAGAAGGGTAAAACCGAACATTTTTTGGAAAATGTTAGGATAAAAACGGACATAAAATTCAACTTTGGTCAAAACCGACAAAACCCTGAAAACTTGAGGGTTTTTATGACATTAGCCCTTTCGTATTTTCAATTAGCTTCAATCCCGTCATCGGTTCTGATTTTATGAACAAACACACACCGACTAAATGAGTTTAATTCGACCAGATATTTCAAATCGGTACCTGGAGCAATAAGCCTTAAATCGATTGTTGTGGATGGATGGGAAGTCAAAGCCGAAGTTCCATGTAGGTGAAATTTAATTTTACAGTTTCTGAAGTTCAAGCCCTATATCGATTCTCATGCTTCACTGGTGGTCATCTGCATCAACGAATTCCAGAAATCAATTTCTCCTTCCCACGCTTCAAAAACTTGGAAATTTTCGCAATATAATGTTCTTTTTTTACAACTCATGAATGCAATTGATACAAAGAAGAAGAAGACGGCTTGGCGGGGGTGTCCATATTTTCTTTGGTAAACACAAAAATTGTTCATCATCAGGTAAAGTATCTATAAATGTCTTCCTTTTGCTCATGATTTCGTTTAGACACACGTTCACAAGCCCATGACCTTCAGATTGAGTTAAATCTTAATGCCCAATTCGCTGTAGTTGTAATTATTATAAGATTTTGGGTTTTTTGTACAAAAATCCAAAATCTAAGTCACATATATTGGGGCTTCATACTAAGATACAAGATTGCTCTCAGGTGAAATCTACTGAACAAGATTTAAACCTTAATTTCACTCTGCTATGCCATTTTTGCCATATTTCTGATCAAATTGGGTTTCTGGTAAGCAATTTCCTTTAGTGTATAGCTTCATTATACGCTTTCTTTGCTAAAAGTCCTTTCTTTCTACAGGCACCAGGGATTCTAATTTGCCATAGTTACGAAGCAACTTCTCATGGGAGAATCCAAGTTCGTTTCACTTGGGGCTGACTCTCTTGGGACGGTATTCTGTTTTCTTTATTATGGTTGAAAATAACGGACAACATATCTTTATCTTTACTATTATATAAAGCATATTAGATGTTTCTTGTTGAAAATTAAGAGGTACAATTATTATAAGACCATGTACAATCTTGTTAAGCTAAATATATACACACACATCTGCTTTGTAACTCCTTACATGGAAAACCCTAAACTCCTATACACAGCTTCTTCCGCCATTACCACCATCGCCACCCAGCATCACCACTTAATCCTAAATCCGTTCTCATCCAACTTTATATCTTAAAACCTAGACCTAGATACCACGAACAACCATATGCCTCCGTCACCATCGTTTTCCGCCTTCCCCACCTTTATCGATCTATTGCGTCACCATCTCCTTCGTTAGACACTACCTTCGAAAATCAATGATGCCGCCAACACTTTCACCACTGGTTTGTAGAGTATCTCTCATAAATCCGTTTTTTTTGTTACATCATCAAATGAACAAGATCCTAAACTGGTAAGCATCTTCCAATTTATTTCGCTTTTGATTTCTCATATATCTTATTTTCCATATTTCTCCGGTTCAGTCATTTTGTATGATACTTATTTATGCTTCCTTATAGATATCTATTTTGTTGAATAATAGCTTTCTGAGTGAAAATTTATCTGACTCTTTTGTTCGGTGTCGTTCTCAAATCTTTAGTTGCACCACCGTCTTTCTCTCTTTCACCCTCTTTGTCTCTCGCTAAAAACTACTCCATCTCTTTCTCTCATTCCCTTTTTGTCTCTCTAATAAAGGGCCTAAATCTATGTGTGTTTATAGGTTGTAGAATGGCAGGAACATGAAATAAAGGACCCAACAGACGAAGCCTTATGGAAGTCCATCACTAGAGGTCAGTTTTTGTCAGTAATCTTCTTTTTTCTTCAATGTTATTGACATGTGTTTGGATATTTTAATACTAATTTCTCTATTCCTGTGTATAAACAAGCTAATGGTTCAAGAAACAACAACAAATGTATATACTTTCCTTTTTTTTCTTAGCGAGTGTGTATCTTAAAGTTTTGGGGGTATTGATTTATTCAAGTTTACCGTTATATGTTTTTGAGTTCTGAGTTCTTCCTCTCTGCTTCTGATTTTTGAATTAAAAAAAAAACTTAAATAAATATTTTGGGTTTCTAATATAGTGATTTTACTTGTTAGTTTTCTTGAATTATAAGTTTTATGATTTATAATATTATGATCCTGAAGAACAGGACCTATGAAGCTTTTTATTCTGATCCAAGAACTAAAGTTCGAGAGTACTCAAGTAATTTTCTGATTGTGTAAAGGTTTAACTTCTTTCCAGAAGGTGTCAACGAGTTTGTTTGTATAGGTTCAATTGTATAGATTTTTTCATTTTATACTTCTCATTGACGATATTTATTCCATTGTTTGTCTGACTTTTAACAGATAAATAAGAAGAAGGGTTTTCTTTTTATTCAGAAATTTTTCTTCCTTGATAGTTTCGGGTATATGGTTCTTCATCTCGAATCTATCTTGACTTTTTTTGTTGATATCTTAAATCTTAGTGTAGTTTTATATATGAAGATTAAATTGATCTATGATTTTGTTTCTATATGTTTGTTTTTAGTCTGAACTAAAAGAGTTTGTTTCATGATTTAAAGGGGATAAGAAGAAAGCCAATTAACCAATAAATGTGAGTGGTTAGAGGAAAAGGAATGGTTAAACTGCAAAGAATGGTAACAAAATTTAGTTATATATTAATTGTTCTAATTGGTAGGGAGTTTTTTTGTTTTTGATCAAATGTTTTTAATGTTCTCTCAATGAAGTTTTTTGTAATTGATCGATTGGGTGCAATTCATTTGCAAGTTTATTAGTATATTTTTTTTATAAAGATTTTAAGGTTGAGAGTTTAATTTATTGGGAATTTATTCTTTACCATTTTGAGAAGCTACACAATTGCATTGCTATAACAAAGATGTTCAAGCCATTCTTTATGGCTTTATTCATCGAAGGAAGATGTTTGCTATTTTATTGTTAACCAAAACATAACTTTCTATCTCATCAGTTAACATTTGTTACTTTGGTAACTCAAGATTGTTAACTGGTTCAATATATTTTTAAAGGGTTTTTTCTATAAATTTATTAGATGAGTGATTATGCATAACTTTGCGTTAAAAAAGATTAAATCACCGAAACTATCTTGTTGTATGCAAAAAGTTTTAAATTTAGTCCATATGTTTCTATGCAAAAAAGAAAAAATCAGTCAAAAATCATACATTTTAACATACCTAAGGGACCATTTATGTAAATTACTTATTTACAAGTTTCTACAACTTAAATTAGTATAAATAAAGGAGCTACTAAAATTCAAAGAAATATGTCAAAGTCTTTATTATCACTTCTCTCTTGTCTAAATCTTGAAAGAAAAGTTAGACGCATGATGTCGTTTGTGACTCGCTAGAGATATTGTTAAAACTTAAGAAATGATTTGGATAATTTGTTTGAATGATTATGATTTTAGTGTTATCAAGTATTATAGAAGCGTGGTGAAATATTTTCTTTTCAAAATCTGATCTTCAAAGTTTTAAAGATATTTAAAATCCCAAATTCTCCAAATTATTTAGTAACAAATTTATATCGACAATACTTGAATAACAAATTTAAATTATTTTGTATCAAAAAAACTCGATGACATATTAAAATAATTTGCTATATATCATTTTTCAAATATAAAACCAAGATAATGATTTTGAGTTGAATCAATCATCTTTTATCATATCATACGAAAAGATTCATATAAAAATATACGTTTAAACTGACTCGTAAGAAATACAAATATATCCACTTTAATAATATTTGCCACATATTGTAAAAATATTTTTCATTATGACAAAACCTTTTTTTTTAACCGGCAAATATAATATATAATCTACTTCTAAACTAACACCTAAATCCACCTACGTCAAAGACGGGACTAGAACCCTCCCTTATGACAAAATCACCATTGGTTTCGCAATACTCACTACAAAATTCATTGTTTGCTATAAAATTATTCTATTATTAAAGACATATTTTACCTTTTCTCATTTTTACATATAATTTCTTTTGTAACATCATATTAACCTAAAACTTTACTTTTATATTATTCCTTAAGTTAATATTTTAAATTTAAAATTTCTAAAATTTGATCATCGAAAATAACTGTAAACAACAAGAAAATTCTTCGTCGTTCGCCGAGGTGAAACTAATCGCCGAAACGAAACTATTTACAACTATTATTCGCTGCCGCAGCTTTGGGCGAGTACACCACTAGTGTAAGTGAAAAGTCTATTTGTTGAAATTTATTGCAATCTACCTTCTACTTCATTCACATAAAGAAAGTCATCTATGGTATTGTTTAGAACAAATATGTTAGGACAGCCACAGAAAGACAAACCTTTGGTGATATTTTTGTTTTACTTAATCACTGCAGAACTTTATCCACCACTACAGACTTTCCACTTACATATGTTGCTTTATATTTTATCTTTTTCCTTTCTTTTAAGGTTATGCTTGACTTTTTTTTATCGAATGGATTATCTAGATAGAACAGAATACCGATATACAAAATGACAAATTTTTTTTGTTAGGAGTGTTTTGGGAAAAATTGCAATTTTTTGTGTAATGCTCGATTAAGAACCACTAATCACAAAAACACCGATTCATCTTTGTCTTGGTAAAATAGTCGATTTTTTACCCCACGTCTCATTTCATAAAGACCTAACATGTAATGTTTTATATTTTCACTGCATCTTTTGTGATTATGAATTTCATTTTACCGGTTGAGAATTTTCCCTGTTGTTTGACAAGTATCAAGCCTTATTGTAATGTGTTAGATGAAGAAGATGTAACTGAGTTAATTAGAGTGTCATGTGTTATGCATATGGATCCTATAAGAAGTAGTCATGTTGGCTTGAAACGTGTTATGCAAAGATACGTATAGCAGAAAGATTAAGTAAGTTGTATCTGTTTGAAATTGGAGGAAAGACTAATGTACATTTTTACTATTATTGGAAACGTGCTTTACAATTACACCCCTCATCGTTTTCGTAACCGATTATGTCTCATTGTGCTGGTGTTTTTTATTCTTTTTACAGGTAGAATAGAGGTTTGAACATTGAAATAGTAAAGATTGTAATTATGGTCCTCCGTATGAGTGGTAACTGTACATATATGCATCAAACTCTATTTCATCAGTACTTTTGGTTATATTACTTATCTATTTATGTTTTAATTTCTTCATTTTTTTTAATGCATAAAGAACATTGAATGGATATTATGGGATTTCATAGGTTCACTGCTAGGATAGACAATGTGACTTTTACATTCCGGTGACTTTTTTTTCTGAGAATTATATATATATATATATATATATATATATATATATATATATAATATATATATATATATAGGCTTAGGTTATTCTATGCAAAGTAATTATTGTGTTATTGTATGCATAAATGTGGGCCAATCAATTTTACTTATTTTAAGAAAGTGAATAATACATATTATTAAATTAAAGATAATTAGAAAATACCATCTAATTTCATTTGAAGGGTATTTTAGTCAATTAACATAAATTTAGAAAAGGAAAATTGCATATTTTAAGAGATAATAGATTCAATTAATTTTAAAAATCTGATTGTAGTGATGATAATTCTCGGATATTCTGACAGAATATATTTATCAAAAATAAAAATATTCTTGAACCATAAAATAATAAAAATATTTTTGAACCTATTTCTTGATCATAACTTTAAAAACTTCTTGGAGAATAACAAATTCGTGAACCATCAATTGAAGAATAAAAACAAAAATTACATTAATTCTTATAAAATACGGGTAACAATTGCTAAGAATTACATTTATTGTTAAAGAATAAAACTAAAAAAACTTTCAAATTGGGAAAAAAAACATCAAAATCTAACAAAGACACTAATATATTCTAAAAGAATAATGTTGCTAAGAATCACTTTCAATTTCATGGTCCATTCTTCAAGCATCAGCTGCTTCTGTGGAAACAAATCAAATGCATAAATCAGTGAGAAAAATATCCATATTCCATTCCAACAGAATTGGAATTTGTGATTCCATTCTGATAGAATTGGAATTCAAGATTCAGTTACGGTATGCATTCTGTTGGAGCAGGTTGATTTTTCCGGGGAGAATCTGAATCATTTGGTTGTTGTTGTTGTTGTTGCAATGGGAAGTTGTACCCTTGGTGGGGCATTAAATACACGAAATTTTGTTGACCCATTGCCGGATTTTGAGGATGGAGGTGACCCTGAGACTGGTACATCTGGTAGTAAGGTGCTACCGTAACCACCGCCGGAGAAGGGTGGTGGTGGTGGATGTACTGTGGTGGTGGAGCAGCAGTTTGAATAATTTGGAGTTGTTGGGTTGTTGGTAATGAAAATAAATAAGGAGAATTTTGAATTTGTTGTTGTTGTTGTTGGATCTGAATTCTCGTGTTTTGATCAAGGGTTTCGTTTAGATCAGTAGATCGATTATTGTTACCAGAAGATTGGATTTGAAGAATTGGCGATAACTAATCGCTGCAATTAAACCAATGATAAACTCCATTAAAATCAAAAATAGATAGTATGCATTGCTGATATAAGCAGAGTAGTATGAAATACCTTAAAACTGAATCTGAAGAAGCCAAATCAAATCCCGTAGATTGTTTTTGCTGAAATTGATGTTCATCCTTTAGATAAGCCATCTGTAAACCTTGATAGGATGAGAAAGGATCAGATTGTTCCGGGATCGCCGTCGCAGAACTCATCGGAGAACCTGAAACCACCACTAGACTCGCTGTAGGGATGAACCCCGCGTCGTTTTGTTGCTTATGATGTCGTTGATGTACAGTCATCTGAGAAAATTGCTCTTTGATTCCTCCTCCTAAAACCTTCGGATGATGCCGATCTTAAGAATCGCGACCATGGTGATGTCGATCTTGTTCACTTTCGGTGGTTTTAAAAAGTCGATGGAGAAAACCTAGGTAGGTAGGTAGCTAGCTGAAGTCAATGGTTACCATAATTATAGGATATTATTTGTGGAAACTAATTATCAAATTACCTATTTACCCTTATTTATTTATTTAATTATTTGTTTTTATTTTAAATTTTGATTGGCCCACATTTATGTATACAATAACACAATAATTACTTTGAATACCTGAACCTAGCTCTCTCTCTCTCTCTCTCAATATATATATATATATATATATATATATATATATATATATATATATATATATATATATATATATTACGTTGACCTTGATATAACATATGATAAAAAGATTGAATCTTTACACAGTTTTTGGATATGGTTGGACCAAAATATGGAAATACAGATAATAAAAAAAAACATAATACACAATACCATCACGACTTCTTTTTTTGATATTTGAGCTCTAACACTAATGTTGATGTGTGTGTGTGTAAATTTTGTTCATGTATGCTTAGTCCTTTAGTAAAATTTGATCTTTATTTTTAATATTTTTTCAATAAAAGAGTAACATTAGTGCATCCTTTTTCGAAATTTGATCTCTTATTTCTGATGTGTGCTTAACATATTTTATTATTATTATTATTATTATTATTATTATTATTATTGTCATTTGTAGCCCAAATATAGCAGTAATCTTACTAATGTACTGCACCAGATCTTGAAGGAAATTGGAGAAGATTTGTCTAGATTACATATTCTTGTGAATCTGGCAGTTAAGTTACTTTCTATATATCATGATCCATGATTCATGTGATGTATATGTTTTGACATTGGCTTTGCATGTGTACATCGAAGTCC